AAACTAACATTGAGATACATTTTGAAGCCAATAATTTATTTAAAATTTATTATTATCTTAATGTTTCCAATTTTCAGATAAAAGATGTTTTTTTTTTGTTTAAGCTATGCATATTTTGTAATAAAAATATAATATTCAACAATGTATACTTCACAAATGTATACTTCAGAAGTTATTTTGAATGTAAAACGCAAAGTGGTTTATAGGCTACTTTTGATAGTCAGGGTAAACTTCCTAACCGATTTAACTTTTTAATTTAAATTGTTTACTTTTCTGTTCCAAATGAAAAATAAATAAAAAAAACACTTGATTTCAACTAGGTTTAAGCATAGATTAAACTTGCGCCCATATTTCTTCATATTCTTCGGATAGCCTGAAGACAATTTACAGTTTTTGATGGCCTTCCTGTACTTTCTCGACATCAACACAATTATTTGATAATGCATAAAGGCTATACAAATATAAAATATAGAATAAAAAAAAATGAAGCATATAATAGGTTGAATAACAATGTTTATGTTAATTTAATGATCCTAACAAATCTTCATTTTAAAATAGTTGTTTAGCCTCCGGATTACTGTTAGCGAATTTCCCATAGAGAATAAGCTATTACCGTAGTACTCATGGTAAGACCTGGACGCGGGACCGATTTTTTTTTCATTTTGAGGTCCCTAGAGGCCAAAAATACCATCCGTTCAAATTCATATATATATATATATATATATATGTCCGTCAGCACGATAACTCGAGCAAAAATGATCCGATTTTGATCAAATTTGGTACAAACGTGCAAACCTACGTTAATTCGAACGAGTTCGCGATCCAGCATGATCGGACCTTGGGAACGGGGGTTTACGGGGGGTTTTATGGGGTAAAAATAGGTTTTTCCCATTTTTGACCCAAAAAACGTAAAATTTAGCAATTTCTTTCAAACCCATTTTGTAGAGCTTAAAAAAACAAATAATTTAGTATATTGAAGCGTTATTATGCGCCTAATGGTTACGGAGAAAATTCCAAAAAATTGTAAATTTAAAATTCCCATATTATTCTTATGGAGAATAAGTAAATAGTAAACTGTTGTAGTTTGCTTGTTTATAAACATATTTTGATCAAATTTGGAAAATGTTTTTATTTCTTACTAACTATTAACATTTCACAAAAAAAAAGTTTTACCCTCCCTGATGCAGCAAACCTTAGTACTTGTTAAACTAATTCTATTTAAATCGGGAATAAATGTTATATTTTTAAGTAGACATTTCAGTGTAAATCCAATCAATCAAATGGAAATTCGCTTAGTCTGCAGGTTTGCTGCGGCGGGGGTATATTATACTTAGGATGGTTTACAATACTTGCATATAGTAATCCTTTGTTGCTGATTTAGGCAACTAGTTTCGGTTCTTGTTTTGAACCATCTTCAGGCCTCAAGGTGTCAAGTGATCACTTCAATGAAGTGACCTTCGAATGAAGTGATCACTTGACACCTTGAGGCCTGAAGATGGCTCAAAACAAGAACCGAAACTAGTTGCCTAAATCAGCAACAAAGGATTACTATATGCAGGTATTGTAAACCATTTTAAGTAACAAATCTTGTTAACTAATAAACATTATAAATCAACAGGTAATATAAAGTTAATGCTCAATATAAAGTCAAATACATATCACTCTTTGTGGATTTTTATCGTAGTCCTGAGTAGAAGTTATAAAACATGCATATGTTGACCTAAATAAATATAGGAAACATATGTTTAACATTTTAACAATAAGTGCAAGGTCATCCACCTAGTTATTTCATTATACTTTATTTTTCCCAGATGATCTTGCTGTTCTTGTCTCTAACGTTGGCATTTACGGTGGAAGGCGCGCGTATCCTGGCAGTAGTCCCAGGATCAGCCAGGAGTCACCATGTCATCATCCAGGCCATCCTGAGGACACTGGCAGAGGCTGGCCATGACGTCACCGTCTATGGGGTTCACTCCCTGGAAGATCCTCCTCCCAACTACACTGACGTCACACTGGGAAGTAGTGAGGGAATACCCTACAATGGTTAGTGAACACTATGAATCAATAGTGGAGTTTGTTGGAGTTGGTCAAGTTCAATATGTAGCTACAAGTCTACTGACTTACTAAATGTGTTACATAAAAGATTGTATGCGCTATTCGCCTAATAGGATTTGGATTGGAATGGTTGGGTACAGCTGTTGTTAGAACTGTTTGAGCGTAAAGGCCAAAGCACAAATCTCTCTAATCAGCAAAGACTTTTGCTAGGAAGGTGTTAATGTTGAAATCCGGTGTTTGAGATTTTAGAAATTGTTAGTTAACCTATCTATAAAAGATTAAAGGGGTCCCTTTGCAATAAATCACTACACTGTGATATACTGCATAATTCCTAAGATTTACAAATATATTTCCTGTCAAATTGCTTTGTATTGTCTGGTAACAATTTAAAAAAATATTTTCATGTACCATTGCGTTTTGCACTTTAAATTATCAATTTGGTGTCCCATTCTCGTTTTAAATTTTTTTCATGCATCCAACCAAGGTTCACGACAACAATTTTTTTAATTTTTAATTTTAAACAAAATAATACATTTTTAAACTAAAGTGTATACCTTTTCTACTAAATAATGTATTTCATTACTTATGTTTACTACGATACCTTATATAGATTCAACTATTGTTTCAGCGTCCAGAAACTGGAACTGCCTCGAAAACATATTCAGCCGCTACGACAAGTTGATGGAAAGAACCTTTGGAAACTCAGGAATCATTAAACTCCTCAAGTCTGATGAAATATTCGACTTGGTCATCACAGAACCCTACCAAGGCCAAGAGTTTAACCTGATCTTTGGCCACAAGTTCCAAGCTCCGACCATCGGGATCCACACCTACTCTGCCAACAGCTTGGTGAACCTAAACATGGGGAACGTGTTCTCTGTGTCTCACATTCCTCAGATGTGCTACGCCCACTCGGACCGTATGAGTTACTGGGAGAGGTTCACGAACCTCGTGGCTCTTGTCGGAGGGATCTACTCGTACTACGTCCACCACTTGCCCAATGTAGAGAGGAGGATGAAAGAGTTGTTCCCCGACGCGCCTCCCTTGCAGGAGTTGGTCAGTGATGTGTCTTTGATGTTCGTCAACGAGCACCAAACCTTGGACTACGCTCAGCCTAGACCAATGACGATTGTTCCTGTGGCTGGGATACATATTGACCCTGTGAAACCGTTACCACAGGTAATGCAGTGTTATTAGTGTATGCTAGATTGTCAGACGTTTTTAGCTAAAATACTACTTTATACTGTACAGTGTTACACTATTATAAACAAGGGGTGTGTATATCCTAAATAATTATAAATTACACTGTATATTTTAAAAATTCAACAAATTAAAGTGCTATCTGCTGGTTTTACATGGACAATAATAAATTAGCCGCTAATCTTGTTTATCTGCCACAAAATAATAATTTTTATTAGGATGTGGTATTAAATTAGACCAGGTAATGTTTTGTTTTAATTTTGCACCTTGCTAATACACTTTTCATTCATTTTATTGTATATATTTCCTACACACCATAATCGTGATGGTCGGTTCAAGCAGTTTACCAGTTTTTTGCTACTTCGTTGCGACAAAACCTAAAAACCATATAACGTTAAATACCTTAATTCAATTTTACAAGGCGTAAACGTACAACATTAACTAAAAATTGTAAAACGCACACTCTCACAATCCATATAATTATGTTATATATTTGTGTCTAGGGTGATTGCCCAAGACAAATATGCACAGGCTCAGCTATAGTCTAGTGCTAAAAACGTTGATAGTAAAACTCGTGTATTAGAAGTAAAGGTACAAATCCTGCAAAACACCAAAAGCTTTTGACATGCTAAAACAATGCTTTGGAAATGAGGCGGACTTACTTAGTCAAGAACTAATTCCACTAAAAGCTATATAACTATTAAATTGATTTAGGTTATTGTTTCTTACAACAAAGCTACTCTTACACTGAATAATAAGCTGAGTCAGAGCTGATATGAGACAAGGTCATACACAGATTGGTAACGGTTTGCATGTGCAAGTAATCAATTCTCAGGCTTAGAAAACATTTCTCTATTGCAGCAGAACTTGAACCATTACATTGTAAGAAGATGTTTGTTATGTTGTGTTCTGTCTTTACATGGTCACTTCACTTTATAAAAACAAACGTTATCAAAGTTTCAAAATATAAGCGATATATATATTCACAGTTTGAAATATTTTTTTTTTATCCATGGTAAATAAAAACATAAAGTATCATAAAAGGAAAAGTTTTGATGAATTTATGTTCAATTGTCTATCGAATTAATTACAGTGTATTTCTTAGGGCACAAAAAACGAAAACCAATCTCGGAAATAGCAAGATTAGTTTATCAGCATGCATTTTGTGTGTTGGTTGGTGGTTTTCTACCGGTGACAACTTTGTTCATAATTCCAATATATTATACACGAAGCAAAGCCAATATATTATTCGTCCACTGATTTAGACTATTCTAGGACGTTAAAAAGGGTAAATCTCACAACAGGCTCACTATTACCAAGGATATTCAAGAGTTCATGGACAACGCGACAGCTGGAGTCATCCTGTTCGCTCTTGGAAGTGTCATTCCTGATGAAACGAAACCTACAAAATACTTCACTGGCATTGCCAACACCTTCAGGAAGCGGCCTCAGAGAGTAATATGGAAGACAAGGATGGAGAAAATTGATAATCTACCAGAAAACGTGATGCTGGTGAAATGGATGCCTCAGAGCGACATTTTGGGTAAGATAGGCTTGGTAATTTGGATAATTAATTATGTGATACATTTTGTATTAACCTTAAACAGATTAGGTTTTGACAGTTTACTCCTATCAATATTACTTTGAGATGATCAATAAATAATTTCACCCATAAAATCCGTATACACAAAGAATGTTCTTTATTTTAACAGTCAATCTATCTAATGGATCTGCAAGGCGAGATGGTTCCAAATAAATATTCTTATACTGGAATTCTTTTGTTAATCGCCAAAGGCATTGCAGTGGATAGTAAATACGTCACAAAAAGTACATCAGACTAGTATTTAGCCTGTAAAATTATCTCTGCATTGAATATCTCACTTCAGCTGTTGAATAGTTGAATTACATTACTTCAAATAACACAGATTATTATTAAATCGAAGGTAGTATTTGAGAAGCTTTAGCTTCCCACGAAAAAAATGACAACTTTTTTTCGACCCTTGGTTTGTTGGTTCAGAGTTTATTTGACACCATCTGCGTATTACAAAACATAATGACATTTTAGTTCACTTAAAATTATACTAGATTCCTCTAATTTAACCAATTGCCCCCAGCTCACCCTAACTGCGTGTTGTTCATCACCCACGGAGGCGCTGCCAGCTTCTATGAGACTATACACTCCGGAGTGCCCGTGGTCGGCATCCCTCACTTCGCCGACCAACACCGCAACGTCGCCTACTACGTGGCCAAGGAGGTCGGGGTCAGGCTCCTCCCTGATCAGGTGTCCGAGACCACACTTACCACCGCTATACGAACTGTACTTGGCAACACAAAGTTAGTGGGAAGTTTTACAATGCATTTGAGTATTTGTTTGTGTTTTTTGACGTTTTTGGCCTTGTTATGTTCTTATGTTATAGAGAGGACCAATATATTTCCTAAATTGAACTACTAGTTGGATACCATGGTTAATTATTAGCCCAGCGATGAAAAGCATTATGGGTCCAGAACCAATACAATTAAGGTTCAAGCCAGTACTTTCAGATTCAAAAGTGATCACTATGACCCAGATGATTTCCCAGGAATGGTATACCCAGACAATTCCAGCTTAAATGTAATTTTTGTAAATAGGTTTACCCTGCTCACACGCAAAAGTGATGTTTATCAATATGACCTTCATAATTGTTCGAGTACTAGTAAGGTATGGTAAGGTAAATATGGATTTTTTTGCGTATCCTCTAAAAAGGGCTAAATTTTCTTATTAATTGTTCTATTTCTAATACAAGAATATTAAACACACATCTTGTTTCAACAAACTCTATTTCCAACTCAACCAATGTTTACCAAAACATGTTTTCAAAAAACATCCGTCAACAAAAGATATTTAAACACAAATAAATCATATGACTAAAAGAACATACTTAATACAACATCCCGCCTCAAGATGTCTACATCTTCATGAAGCTCGGTACCGCCTCGGTATCTTGATGGACCTTCCGTAATGGGTAACTGTGCCAGCGTCTGGACGATCACGTGAGTTAGATGGACAATTAAGGGCCGTAGATGAACAGTTTGAAAGAATGCAATCTTCTCCGTAGTATGGTGCAGGAACTAAGAACTTCTGGTTTCGTCGAATGGTTTTCTTGTCAATGTCCACAAGGTAGGAACGTGGTTTGTTCAATTTCCTGACTACTTTACCATGTCTACGTAGATCTGTGATCCATACCATGCTTCCCTCTTCTAATTCACTTAAACCCCTCGTTCCATGTCGTTTATCAAATTGCATCTTATACTTCGACTGGTACTTATTCTCCCTCTCAAAAAAGTCTTTATTTTCAACAGGATTTCCAACCAAAGTATATGGAAGATTGTCACTTATTTTTCTTTCTATTTCTTGAGAAATTCCAGGCCACCACATGGTTTCCAAAGCACGTTTCCTTGTTTTTGTGATTCCCAAGTGCCCACTGTGAAGCCTCTCAAGCATTTCCGCTCGTAGTTCATGAGGTATTATCATCCGAGTTCCTCGAAGCAATAACCCATCAATACAACTTAACTCGTCTTTCACGTTAAAGTATTCTTGAATCTCATTAGGTAAACTTGATTTTCCAGGCCATTCGTCTAAAATGTTTAGCTTGAGTTGTGCACATATTGGATCCCTCATTTGTGAGTGAAGTACTTTTGTCACATTTTCATCTGTAGCGTTTATTCTAATCATACTGATTTCATGGACGAAGGCTTCCACTTCTTCTGTCAATTCGCCATCTTCATTAGCCGGAATAGGACATCTCGATAGCAGATCTGCTATGGCAAGGTCTTTTCTTGGGGTCCAGGTCATGCGATAATCGTATCTCATCATACGCATTCGGAATCGCTGTAGCCTCGGTGAGAGCTCTTCCAAATTTTGTCTTTTGAAAATTGAGACAAGCGGTTTGTGGTCGCTCTCAATTGTGTACATTTTACCCATCAGGAAACATTTTAAACGGTCACTTGCCCAAGTGCACGCAAGCGCTTCTCTCTCAATGTTACTGTAGTTTTCTTCAACAGGCATTAGAGTCCGAGATATATATGCCACAGGTTTCTTATTTTCTCCTTCAACTTGTAGTAAAACCGCTCCAAGACCTTTTTTTGAAGCATCACAAGAAAGAATCGAGGGCTTTTCCGGATCGTAAACAGTTAAACATGGCTCTGATGATAAAATCTGTTTCACTGTGACAAAAGCTTTTTCCTGAGTTGGTCCCCAAAAGAAATCTTTTTTAGTCTTTAACAAGCTCGTAATTGGCTCTATAACCTCACTGCAGTTCGGAATAAATTTAACCAGAAAAGTGATCATGCCCATGAATCTCTGGACTTCATTAGCATTACTTGGGGCTGGTAAGTCCACAACTGCTTGTACCTTGCTTGGATCAGGCTTGATTCCTTCCTTAGACAGCACAAACCCCAAAAATGTCACAGTCTTCTTGCAGAACTCAGACTTCTGCTTATTCAAAGCGATTCCATTAGCTTGCACTCTCTCTAGAACGGCTCTAAGACACTCGTCGTGTTCCTCTTTCGTTCTTCCCCATATCAAACAGTCATCAATGTGCACTAAACAGTTCTTTGCCCCTTCTAAAGCTTTTGACATACGGCGCTGAAACTCTTCATGAGCAGATGTAATTCCAAAAGGTACCTTACAGAATTTATACCTCCCGAAAGGGGTGATAAATGTTGTGTAATCTTGAGACTCCTCTGCAAGGTTCAGTTGCCAGAACCCGGAATTCGCATCGATCTTGCTGAAGTACTTGGCTCCCACGATCTGGGACAATGAAAGTTCAATCTTTGGAATGGGATAAAACCGACGTTTCACACTGTTGTTGAGTTTGGATAGGTCCACGCAGATCGTAACCCCACCTCTCTTTTTTGCGCAAACTACCATTGGTGCGCACCAATCAGTCGCGTTTTCAACTGGGACAATCACTCCTTTTTCAAGCATATTCTCTAACTGCTCTTTCACCTTGCTTTTTAAAGGTATTGGTACAACCCTGGGGGTAGATATAGCATAAGGAACTGCATTCTCCTTTATTTCTATCTTGTACTCTCCTTTCATATTTCCCAATCCTTGAAATAAATTAGGGTACTTAGTAACCCAGTCAATATCTGATGAATCTACAGAAAAGATCCTCTTCACCAGGTTCAGCTCTTCACAGGAACGTCTGCTAAGAAGTGGAACAGTGATCTCCTCAGAAATATACGCATGATCATAAATTGATACACCCTTATGTTCAAGCTTCAGCCTTAAAGTTCCCAAAATATTGATTCGTTCTTTCTTCTTTGCACTGTACACAGGGGATTTGCACTTTCCTAGAGGAAGAGTCTTAATAAAATCGCCAAGAACTCCTACTGGAATCATGGTTACATCAGCGGCTGTGTCAAGTTTACATTTTATAAGCCCTAACACTTGGTTTCCACAGCTTGCTTTTACCTCCTGGGCCCAGGCTCTGTCATTGTTTTCTATATTCCCGATGAAAATCTCAGGAACCTGTAGATCTCCACAGTCTGAAACTTGCTGTTCGATTTCTTTAACAACGTTTTTGTTTTTTCTCATCCACTTTTCGCGGTAGGGACAGCATCGAAAAAAATGTCCAATCTCGGAACATTTGTCACATTTGGCTTTCCTAGCAGGACATTCGGCCAGTGATCCGTGCCAATCATAACCACATTTCCTGCACTTCTTTGTATTTTCTGCATCCTCGATGTATTTCTGGTCACAAACTCCTTCTGTCCGATTCGGTCTACCGTTTTGAACTGACGTTTTATTTACCAAAAAAACATTAGTATTGGCAAGTTCACGTTTTTGGCGTTCTAGCTCCTCATGTTGGCGCAAGGTATTAATTGCTTTCTCCAGAGTCAATTGAGATTCCAGCTGGAGTCTATCACTCAGACACTCATCTTGCATACCAATAATGAGGACGAGAAGCATCATCTCATCATTTAGTTCACCCCATGCACACGTTTTCGCAAGGCCATGCAAATCTGTTATACATTTTTCAGATGGATCACTACCTTGCTTGTGTCTCAAAAATTTTGATCTTTCAAAAATTATATTCCGTCTTGGCACAAAGTATTCATCAAAGGCCCTAAGAGCCTCGTCATAAGTATTAGGTTTTGGTGAAAACGAATCGAAAATATCTTCACTTCTACTACCCATTACAAACAAAAGTACATCGATTTGCCGAGTGTCGGAAGTGCTATCCAGACCGCAACCCCGTCTGTACCTTTGAAAGCGATTCCTCCAGGAATGCCACTCATTCGGAGTAAAAGAGAACGTTTCTGGAGTTGGTAACGTGATATTGACCATTGGAGTAGGAGTATACATAGCTGCATCATTTTCTCGGTTCGTATGTCCCAATGCAAAACCTCGTGACTCATCTTTAGTCTTTCTAGAGTCCCTTTCTGAAACGTAGTTGAGTTCACTTTGGGCGTCGTCCTCACCGTTATCCTCATACCTGTGCCTCCGAGTATTTCGTTTTTTTCTGCCCTTACTTGACATTATGCGTGGTTTTAGACTTTCAGTTCGATAAAAATCCACTAAGCTGCCACCATGTTCTATTTTTAATACAAGAATATTAAACACACATCTTGTTTCAACAAACTCTATTTCCAACTCAACCAATGTTTACCAAAACATGTTTTCAAAAAACATCTGTCAACAAAAGATATTTAAACACAAATAAATCATATGACTAAAAGAACAAACTTAATACAACATTAATATACTTACACTACACACATTTTCGTTTTCAACCTAGTTTTGGCTAACTTTTAATTCATTAACTTGCTTGTATTCTCTTTTTTTGTAATTTTTCCCATACTAATAATGGAGGTACCGTAACCAACTTGACTACTGATTAATTGAAGATAGTATAGTTACCATACATTCTACAGCAACAACCTTGTTTATAATGTTTCCTTGGGGGGTCCAAGGACAAAATAAATATGAACTTAGGGGATAGCGTTGCGTAATTTATTCCTCTAGATTTTAAAGCACCTAATTTTTGCTCTTAACTTTCAGATATCGAGATAACATGAGAAGGCTGTCTCGTATACTCCAAGATACCCCAATGTCATCGAAGCAAGCCGTCGTCTTCTGGACCAACTACGTACTACGTCATCAAGGGGCTGCCCACCTCAAGCCAGCGACAGCTAAAATGTCTTGGTACCAGCGAACTCTACTTGATGTCATGGTGGTTATTGTTTGTTTGTTTATAGTTATTCTGGTTATGTTTTATGTTTGTTTGAGGGGTGTGCTTCATTTATATCGAAGACGGAGTATTTTAGAAGTGTTTAAAGAAAAGAAATATGTTTAGTACTTTCGTTTGCCACAACTCACAACTCGCTGTACCGGATTTGTAGTGAGATTCTGTAAAATAATTTGACACTGATGTACAGTACAGTGAAGTGATTGTCAATTAGGTAAAGTAAGAGCCTAGTGCCATGACAATAGTGTAAAAGTTTGTTCAGTACTTACGGAAAAAGATGAATGTGAAAGAAGGCAAGGCAATATAAATGAATCAATTGATCAATTTATTGAGATAGGGACGCCACCTAGGTGCGTGTTTAACCCAAATATGAGTGAATGATGAGTGTAAAATGGCGTGTAATGATCTGTGTAGCTTTGTTCCTGACTAAGATCAGCTGTTTAATCAGTTAGTATCATTATTTAAAGCCCAATGAACACAAGGAACAGCTGGGCCCAGTTTCGAACCATCAAAAAGCTACTGACTTTTCTCAGGATCGAACCAGCGACCTTTTAATTGTTTGGTGAGCATAAATGCAATGGCGAGTGAAAATAAAACTAATAGTAGGAAGTTTTGTGTGGACAGGAAGCAAACGGGAAACTGTTAATTAATAGGAAGAAGGACTGATAGTCGAAAAACTTAGAATTGTGATTTACAAAGTAAGTTACAGGTAAATAATAAAATCACTTGGACTAGTCTTAAGGATCAAATAAAAATATAATGGGGAAAATAATAAATTTAGCATATTTCACTAATGAAACCTCATGTGTGTGTTATATTTAATCTTGATGTATTACTTGTTTGTCTTTTAGCTAAATAAATCCCCTAACAGTTAAACAACGACTTCCATTTCTTATATTGCCAAATAAAAACATTTTTTGAATTGCCGAGTTCACTTTATTTTGTTACACAAAATTATGGTTTTCTTGGAACAGTGTTGCCACATTTAGTTTGTTTTGTCACATCGTTGCCACAATGATGTCACACACATGTCGCAGGGGATAAGCTCGTCTTGTTGTTGTGACAAGAAAAGTGTTGATAACGTGACAAGTTTGCGAGAGAGGCGCTTTTCATGTAGGTCAAAGGTGTTATTCGTCATCTTTGGATCCCCTATTTACACTCACACAATAGTAAAATGTGTACATACTGAACCTCTATATGTATACTAAACTATAAATCTTAAGTCCGTTGCCATTTAAGTATTAACTGTTACAATCTGGTGTAGTTACTTCAATGTTATCGTATTTTTTCAATTAGGCTTCTAATTAAGAATTATTACCTTTTGTTTGTAACTCAAACGATAGCCAGAAGTCATTGAAGGATTCACGACATTTTTTTTAAAGTGAAAGATAATCTGTGTTTAATTTAAAAATGATTTTTTCTAATTCAGCAAATTTGTTACTTTTCTGTGGCTACATACACCTTGATGTAAAGAAATAAATTTATTGAAATGAAAACTACAGTTAATGTATCTTAGCTGGACAATTAGATTTCAACTGGAAAAATATTTGAACTGGAAATTACTGATTGAGTTATCCAGTGATGTGGTCCAGTTTTAAAAATTTCCTTGTGTTAAATTTGCAAACTTTTTAAAGAAAAGTTTCCAACTTTGTAAATCAATTTCAAGAAACAATCGCTCACTTCAGAGATTAAGTTAATTGTTTCAGAGTTTCTGTATCTTATGACTATCAATTGCACAGCACTTCAACATACCACTTACTTATAACTTATAAAGTCACAATTGCAGTAAATTATAACATATTGATATTTTATGAATTTAATATTTTTTATTTAAAACGTAAGAGTTAACAGAAAACATTTTATCAAGAAAACTTTCAGTTGATTTGTTGGATTACTTTTAGAATGGAAAATTAAATTTACGTTAAAAGTTACAAATTTTGTTGATAGCAATGGGTAAAAGAGTACTTAGTTTTGCTCAATAAATGGAGAAATTGAACTTTGATTCCTCCAGGAAATTTGTTTCCTGAACATATGACTAGCAGGATTACTTATATTGAACTATTTAAACTATTTATTGTTTAATCAATATTATTATAAATTATTATTATTTAATTATTTAATTATTTGGATTCATAAGATGTGCACTGTTGATCTTCTGATTCATAGATTGGGCCTGATGTTGAACGGTTTGACTTTTAAAATTGATAGCCGTTTTAAACTGTACTATTATATTTATCACCTTCGAATATGGTATGCGTAAAAATACTTCGAGAAGTATTTACAATAGATCCGTTTGAGTTAAGGTCAGTTAGTTAAGGTCCGTTAGTTAAGGTCTGTTAGTTAAGGTCCGTTTAATGGTCAAGTATGTCATTTAATTGGCCCTAAGCTATGTAGGGTGGTTTCCCAATGGCTGTTCTTTTCTTCGTAATTGTATCAAACTACCAGTGTAATTCTATCAATTTCCCTAGTGTAAAATATTTTACTCCTTAACACGCTGAATTTAAACAAAGGAATTTTGCGCCTGGTAACCAAATAACAGACTGATTTACTAACTCAGTAGCTAAACAAAATTTGCTTTTAAGTCATGTCGGAAAGTTTTGAAGTTTCGTTAGACGTTTCCCAGGCATTGTTAGCTGGTCTTGTATTGTTTACATTAGTTACAGAAGAGTATCTTCTATTGTTTACATTAGTTACAGAAGAGTATGTGGTTTCGTAGAAACAAACCTGCTTGCTATTCGACCCACAAAGTTAGAACGAACACAATACATATTGTGTTCTGGTCTTAACATTATAGTTCATTGCGACCAAAGTATTATTTGGTGAACTAATTTTCTATTAAAGTGCATTAACTTGGGGCTTATTCTAACTTTTTAACTTTAGTTAGGTACCTCAATTTTCGTGTTAAGGAACCATTTAAACCTATAAAATATACTGAAAAAAAAGATAATATTTAAATGTTTTGTATAAGAATTGAAACACAAGTTGGCAAATTTGTAATGAATGATTAAAAGAACAAATTAAATAAACGTTGTCTCACAAATCTAAATAAGATGTTTAAAGGGATGAAAATTACTTTTTCGATACTATTTGGAAACCATGCGAAGTCAGAGATTAAAAGAGCTCATGATTTTCAAGGGAAATGTAGGGTAATTTGTGCCGCCGTGCTGGCAACACCGTCAGTTTGATGTGCCCACTGCTCTGAAATAGTAAACAAAACAACGATCTCAGTCAAACCTTGGTTTTGAGGTTATTTCTGTTTTAATTCATTTATCATTATAATATACTTTATTATTATTATTATTATAAACTAGTTGTATCGGAAAGTTTTAAAGTTAGGATTGGCGTTTCATCCTATTTCTTTTAAATAAGTTAATTGTAGAAATAAGTTAATTGTATAAATAAGTTAAATGAATACTAGGCCAGCCCTATCATTATAGATCTGGATGACTTTCTGATGAGTGATTTAAGACAAGGAAATTATAAAGTGGTGTATGAACAAAATTAACATATTTTAAGAAACTTAATACTAAATGATGAATGTATGAAATGAAATATTACAACTTTTAGGAGAAAAATGTCTCTGGATGAGGTCTGCACAAGATAAAACCCTAAACTATTTACAAATATATTTACAAACTATTTAAAACTCTATTTAGTATTTTATTTTATTCTCTTCTAATTTATTATTTCACAGAGTTTTTTGAAAAGCTACACCTATCCCTGAATTCATCCTCATTTAAGTCATCAAATGGATTGTTTTCCCGCTCACGACGAATTCGCGGCCCACGAAAACGGTAAAAATCATAATAATCAATGTAATCCATAATCACCTTCAACTTTAACACACAAAAATGGCTTAGGTTAAAAGTGGACGACTGAAATTAATCCTACCCCTATGCAGGATTAAAATCTAGCATGTTTTAATCCGTGGACTAAAGCATAATTTCTTTAGTTCAGACTTAAAAACTAGTTTTTGACTAATATTAGTCGATGACTTATAAGTACTTGAATCAGAAAGATATTTTTCTTAGCCCAGTACTAAAATGAGCTTTAGTCTAGGACTAGCGCTAATACCTGAATCAGAAACCCGCCCTTAAGAATCCTAAACATATAAGTAAAATTGATAATGTTATCATAAAATTTTATATTCATTGACAATTTATATTAAGTTATGTTGTTTTTGCATTTGTTATGAGTATTTGTCAATTTTTGTTTGTGTAAACTGTTTTTACAGAATGAATAAAAATAATTTTAAACTTATATCACATTAAATTAATATTTTAACTAGTCTAAAGATCAAGGTCAATACTAGGAAAACATGTATCGATACCTTTCTTTTCAGAAAGATATTTGTCAAATAATATTTTATACTACCCCTAGAAGCATTATTTATTAAAGATTAAGGTTAAGTACTTCCATGTATATACCTTGAGTCGTTCAAAAGAGACATCGAAGTTGTTTGTTGAAGTGGCTTCACTGTGCTAGAATGTTTTAAAGCTATTTTCATACAACTTTCTTGCTATACTTGAATAAAAAAGGATGCCTAAAAGGAATAGCCTTATCAGCTTAATAATATTGTATGGTCCAACCATTATCAATCAGTCCAATTTATACCAAAATGCTAATTAAATAAATAACGGGTGGCTTGGTTTGGAGGTACCAAACAAAAATGAAGTAGGATTCCAAGGGCGCTAATTATGTCTTACATAGTAAAAGCTATTTTTACTTAAACTACAAACGACTTGAATGAAAATAAGCATAAGTGTTAAATATTTGATACTCTTCAAAGTATTAAGGTTATAAAAATATTAGGTTATCAATCAAAGTTTGTTTATAGTGTCTGTACTAAATCGATTCCTATATAAGATTTTACCATCGGACGGTTTTACGGTAATATACCATTGGCTATGATTTATTAAGCACTTGTGACAGTTGAGTTTGCATTTAATATTTTTTATTAAACGTTTTATATTTTAAATTATTTTCAATCATCCCCTTACTTTACACAAATCATGTCTTGAGGGTTTATTCCTGGTTTTTATGCGAGGTGAGGAAAACGTGACGTGAATTTTAGAACCCTTCTAAAAGTAAATATATGTTAGGTGCCTACGTAGCACCTGTTTGTAATTCACAAAAATACCATCATAACATTATGTAAATTCAACATTGATATACCGCCTTGATAAAATGTATATAAAGATTGACTTGTTGCCAGTAAAAATATAACAAATTATATAATTGTTATGAAAATAAATTTTAGAAAACTGTACATTATTTGCAAGAAAACAAAATATGCGTAGTTTAAAAATGTACCACTTTTGTATAGTTTATTTGATTTTGTAAAGTATTGAATAAAATACATTGTTAAAACCTTACATACTTAGTAAATATTTTACAGTTTCTATAGTGGTGGAAAACCAAATCTAAAAATATTAGGCAAACGATTTGTGTAATGTATGTATAACTAGAATAAATGAATATTTAACCTCTGAACAAACATCGTTGTACAACGAATAACTGCCAGTTATAATGAATAATTTACGTGTTATAAATATAGTTTATTTTACCAAGTCTTGTAACAATAGGTTTTTTTACTATAAATACCAACAAATAAGGTTTTTCGTAAAGAATGTGTCGAGGAGTTGAAAAGCAAAGTTTAGCCTACGTCTATTGTTATCAGGTTGACCTTTTGACGTTACGAACGTTCGTCTCGAAAGAAAATAAAGCATGAAACATTTAAATCTTATTTTTTCCAACTTTATTTTCAGATGTTAATAATCCTTACAGCAATGTATACACTGCATTTTCAACACACTACAATAATTTGTGAGATATGATACATTATTCTTGATTAATCCAGTAACAATGAACATGTTATCTTTACGATTGAGTTGAA